GGGAGAGTCTAAGGGAAAAACTCACTGTGCCGTGATGCTCTCCGCATTATGTTTTAAGCTAGCAAACATTAGATCTCTTTGAACATAGATGGTTTAGCAAGTCTGGTTAAAATTGAAACTAGAAAATAATTTCATCATTGTAGCAGGATGATAGATATGGAACATGGTTCATTTGTAGGACAGACTTTTAATGGTACCTGTGATATCTAGATATAGGTATACATTAAAAATACAAATTATTTCCGGGGCTGGCCCTGTGGCCGAGTGGTTAAGTTTGCACACTCTGCTGCAGGCGGTCCAGTGTTTCGTCACTTTGAATCCTGGGTGTGGACATGGCACCACTCATCGACCCACGCTGAGGCAGTGTCCCACATGCCACAACTAGAAGGACCTGCAACTAAGAATATACAACTATGTATCAGGGGGCTTTGGAAGAAAAAGGAAAAAAATAAAATCTTTAAAAAAAATATATAAATTATTTTCAATGTATTATCTCTCATAAATGAAAGGGAAAGGAATGTGGGAAATGGAACAAATTGACCCTGCAGACAAATTCTAGGGGTCTAAGATAAAAGCTAAACTTAATGTAAGTTTTTATTGATTGAGAGGTATTACAAGATGTATCATCATATGTTTTATTCCAGGATCAGTTAACGAAAACTTTTTTTAAAATTTAGAATTAAATTCAGAAAGTATTGAGATACATAGGAGAAAGAGCCTAGGTTTTGGAGGCAGGGTTCACATCCCAGCTGTAAAGCTGTGCATCTTTAGTCAAGTTTCTTGACCTCTGAAGCTTTGTTTCGTTGTGAAGTGGAAATGCTGACGTCTGCCTTGTGGGACTCTAGTGAGAATTAAATGAGGTGGCTCATATAAAGCACCCTGCAGAGTAATTTGCCCTTAGCAGTTGGTAAGTGCTCACTAAGGTCTGACATATTTTTCCACTTCCCTGTAAGTACGAAGTTGTGTTGTCCTCATTCAGTTTCATTGCTGTACAGGATTTTCTTTCTAAGAAATATGATGCTTCTCCCACCATACAGACATTTTCTTTTTTTCTTTATATTACTTCTGTTCTAATTCTGAGCACTGTTTAATAAGGTAGTGCTTCTGTGAGCGAGTCATTGTCAGACTGATTGTCACGTGGAAGTGTGCTAGGAGCTCTTTCCCAGCCACTTTTCTTCTCTGGGTATTTAGCGCATTATTCGTTAGCTTTCTTTCCTGTGTCCTGTGGGCACACTTTGATCCCCCTCCCCCGCATCTTTGCTTTCAGGACTGTAATACAGTATCTTCAAATGCTTCAAGTTCTTAAATTATCAGATTGGTTTTATAATCAGTCGTAATACTTCCAATTCCCTTAACTGGGTTCTTCAAATAAAAGTTTGGATGTGTAATGATTTTCAAGTATTTTCTGTACCTGCAGATAACTTTTATTCTATTAGGAAAAATGCAGTTTAGCTGGGCTTCTATAGATGCGGGAAATCAGTGGGATGTTTATGGAATTTTAGAGATCTGTAATAGAGTGAGAAAGGGGTAAGATTCTGAACATGCATTTGTAGCTATTGCCAAACAACTACTTTAAATTAGTGAACTCAAAATCAAAATAGCCACATAAAACAGCCCATAGACCCAGGATTGTAACCCTTTAGAAAAGGAAAAGACCGTTAGAAAATATGGTCTCTTTCTTTCATAAGCAGTTCCAAAAAAATTGCAATGTATTTATTCTATGCACTTTAGCCTAGTTTTCACGTTATATTGCTGAAAGAGCCTAAACTTAGAAGACAGTGCTTGAGAAATCAGTCCTAAGTGCTTTAGAAGCCCCACAGGTTCCTTATTAGTTAAATCTTTGCCAACTTCTTAGTTTCCAGGAAATACATTGGCATTTCTTTGAGGGGAGTCTTGTCTCAATCAATATGAAAAAATAAGTTGAATCCTAAAGAATAATTATTCACTGAGCAAATTTTTGCAATTATTTGAACTGAAAAATCTTTTCTGTAACACTCTGAGCCATCTGTTAGGGGATAGTCTTCATCTCTCGCAGTATTACAGGCGAGGCACGTGAGGCCCTAATCGGGTTATGTGGATTTTGTATATTATTAGCTATTTTTTCTTGGTTTTAATTTATTTTTTAAATGAAATGTTACCTGATTATAGATGAGATTTTAATGTTTTAGAAATTGCTCCAGCTTTCTATAATGTCATAGTAGACATATTTCTTTTTCTTCATGCTAATTATCCTTTTTGCTATATATGGTACAAAATTAATTATTTTGAGCCTTTTTTTTTTTTTTTAAGGATTGGCACCTAGGCTAACAACTGTTGCCAATCTTTCTTTTTTTTTTTCCCTGCTTTATCTCCCCGACCCCCACTGTACACAGTTGTATATCTTAGTTGCAGGTCCTTCTAGTTGTGGGATGTGGGACGCCGCCTCAACGTGGCCTGACGAGCGGTGCCATGTCTGCGCCCAGGATCTGAACCCTGGGCTGCCGCAGCGGAGTGCGCGAACTTAACCACTCGGCCATGGAGCCGGCCCCTTGAGACTTTTTTAAAATCACAGTATTGAAAAGTGTCCTGTTTGCACATGGTGATCTTGTCTGTTCATACTGTTTGATCTCCATCATATTGTTGTCATAGCATACATCCCCTTGGCACCTTATTCCATACTCTCATGAGTACTAAGTTGTTTACTCTTTGAGGTCATACTCTATGTTTATCTGTCTTGGTGGAACAGTATGATATAGATGAAGAATTTTGGAATTAGACTGATCTAGATTCAAATTCTGCTCTGTCTTGTAACTGTTGATCTTGAGCAATTCTATTACACTCTTGAGTTATAGTTTTCTTAATTAAAAAATGGAGTGAGGGGCCAGCCCAGGAGCGTAGTGGTTGGGTTTGTGTGCTCTGCCTTGGCAGCTTGGGGTTTGCCGGCTCAGATCCTGGGCACAGACCTACATACCAGTCATCATGCTATACTGTAGTGGCGTCCCACATAGAAAATAGAGGAAGATTGGTACTGATGTTAGCTCATTGACAATCTTCCTCAAGCAAAAAAGGAGAAGATTGGCAACAGATGTTAGCTCAGGGCCAGTCTTCCTCACCAAAAAAAAAAAAAAATCAAATAGTTATTTTATAACAGTATCAGGGTTAAGTCAGACTTTGTACAAAGAACTGAGCATTATGTATCTCATCTAGTGGATCCTAATTAAGTTATGATTCAGGTCTCTTTGTTATTTTCAGTAGTGCTGTACCTTATTTAATGCTTATTAGTCAAATGAATGCTGTCTAAAGTTAAAACCTATAATATAATTCAACAGATGTATTGAGTACGTATTATAAGACAGCTGCCATACTTGGTGCTGTGGAACAGGTTTGTTGTCAAGAAGTTTGCACTTTAATTGGAGAGATGGGACACATGGATATTAAATAACTGTAAAAGAAATGTGAGTGAAGTTGAACAGAATAGCTTTGTAAATCTGGGTTTCTCAGAATCTTGGATACTAGCCAGGACATCACTGTCTCCCTAAATAAATTAAGCTCAGGTTAGTTTCTTTTTACTTAGCCTGTATTTTTAAACATTATAAAGAGTAGAACAGTATTAATTGTAAAGTTACTACTATTAGCTGTAATGTATAATGTCCTGACCAGCTCAATGACAAATGATGCTTGATGACTTTTCTTGATGTACACTAGTAAAACTAGTCGCTGTTGCTCTTGGAGGGATTGCTGATTTACTTGGTTTCTTGATTTTTTGCTTTTTCTGGAGTAAATTAGATATTGTGCATAAGTTAGTTTTGGCCTATTGATATTCATATTAAGGAAGGTAATCAGTATTACAGTAAAGTATCGAGAGAGTGGTAGACCTATACTCTGCCACCAGATTCATAGTAGGATCCTATTTTTTTAAATTGTTTAATTATAATTGGTTATAAATTATACTTTTCCAGTGTAATTTTGTGGAAAAGAATGAATAGGGTTTTTTTTTGAAGTTTCTGAGAAATCTGCATAGTCTTTTTCTTTGTGAAGTGGTGTACCTTTTTAGGTAATGGCATTGGGGAAAGAGTATTGGTCTAGAAGACTAGAGATCTGAGTTCTAGTTTCACCTGTGCTTGAGTTAGTAGCTTTTCTTATTTACAAAATAAAGATTTTTCATCAGATTCTGTTTCAGAATGTATGACTTCCTTGGGCATTTCGTAAAATTAGCTGTAAAGTTTGATGTCCCTGGGTTGTAAAATTGTTTTTTATTGCTTTTATCTAGAATCACATTAGCTCATTGAATAACGAGACCTAGAGTCTAGTGGTTACTACCCTTAAAGTCGCTTCCTCCTAGCTGAGAGAGTGGCAGTTACTAATTTTCCTCCTACTAGAAAGAGAGCAGTTGGGGAATATGGGGCCTGTGGATAGGAGAGTTGCTCCTAGGTCAGATTGAATAGCTCTCAGCAGAAAGCAAACTGAGTGGGTTGATAAAATGAAGGTTGGAAGCTAGGTTGTATTTTTGACTAATTAATCCCTACCCTCCCACCATTATTTTACTTTGATATTTGTCTTTTCTCCTTCCTTACTTCCTTTTTATTTTTTTAATAAGTATTAAAGTGCCATAAAATGTACTCTTGTTTAGGGTAGTGAGGTTCTTTTGGAGTAGGAAGTCTAGAGACTTGGGTGTGTGTGGTAGGAAGAAGGTCAGGCTAGAGTTGAGAAGGAAGTGATTGGAAGAAAAAAGTAACGCATAAGCCTGAGTAGCAGCTCCTTATCCCAGAATATTGTGCTTTATTGTGGGTAACGTGTCCCAAGGCAGTTTTAAGATTTAATAGGTCAGTTTCTTATCTACATAGTGAAAGTATAGCTTAACACTGGGCAGTTTTCCTGATTGTTGAGGATGGAGTGCAGGTCTTCCCATCAGTTTTTTGAAATTGTTAATCCTCTGTTGATACATAGTAACTGTTCATAATTCACGGGGAAGGACTTTAAATTAAAAATATTTACTTTTGACTTGGTTCTGTTTCTTACAGCCATGGTCAGAGAGACACAGCCCAGATTCTTCTATTACGAGGAGCCAAATATCTGCCAGATAAAAATGGAGTAACCCCTCTGGATTTGTGTGTACAGGTACATTGTTGATGTATAGTCTTAACACCTTACTTTATAATAGAAACTGAGACTGGTAAAATCACGTCATTCTCAAACGAGAGGGTGGGTGCAAAGATTTTTGTTCTGTGAAGAGTATGATCTTTGAAAGGAACTATGATACTATAAGAAATATATGTCAGTCTTCATCCAAGTTCCTCACACGACAGCTTTTAAGACCCTTGGAATCTCCAGAGTGATCAGAATGACTTTTTGTATATTATTGAAATGGCTATTGGCTGAAAGCCCCTACATAGCTTCCTGATGGGGACTGGTGGCCAGAGGAGCCAACCGTATGATTAGAGGGCAGCCTCCTCCCCCGCTCCCGGGGAGAAGAAGGGCTGGAGATGCTCAGTTACCAATGACCAGTAATTTAATAAATGATGCCTATGTAATGGAAAAAGCAGTGGGTTCTGAGAGAACTTCTGCATTGGTGAACACGTTGAAGGGGCTGGGATGGTGGCATGCCCAGAGAGGACATGGAAGCTCTGTGCCCCTTCCATGTACCCTGTACCTTCCATGTAAGGTGACATAGCTTACCCTATGCGTCTCTTCCATTTGGCTGTTCCTGAGTTGTACCCTTAAAATAAACAGTTAATAGTAAGTAAAGTGTTTCCCTGAGTTCTGTGAGCTATTCTAGCAAATTCTCAAACCCGAGGAGGGGGTGGTGGGAACTCCTGACTTATAACTGGTTAGTCCGATGTATGGGTGGCCTGGATCGTGATTGGCTTCTGATGTCGGGGCACACTTGTGGGACTGAGCCCCTGACCTGTGGGGTCTGCGCTAACTCCAGGTAATTAGCGTCAGAATTGAATTAAATTGTAGGGCACCCAGTTGGTGTCCACAGAGAATTAGAGAATTGCTCGGTGTGGGAAACCCACAAATTTGGCGTCAGGCTTGTGGAGGAAACAGATATTCCTTTAGGAACTTTGTTTTTAAACTTAGATAATTTTAAATTTCGTTTTTAGGGTGGATATGGGGAGACGTGTGAAGTGTTAATTCAGTATCACCCTAGGCTTTTCCAGACAATTATTCAAATGACACAGAATGAAGATCTCCGAGAAAACATGGTAATGTAGTTGTGCTAAGTAGCTTGTAAATGAACAAGCCTTGTTCGTGCTTAGTGTATATGGCATTTTACAGTTTTGCTTAGTAATTTTATTATAAATATTTTAATAATTTGAATTTGCTTATCTGCATTATAGGATAAATATGAATTATATCAAAACTAATATTTGTGGTGATATTTGGCCCTTCTGTCCTCTGGGTCTTTGGTCTCTCCTTAAGATAATTAGAATATTCCCCATAGGTAGAGGAAAAGAATCTAAGGAGGAATCTCATGTTATGGTTGGTGATCACTAGTGTACTGAGCTCTGTATTTATAATTGATCTACTCTTTGAAAAATTGCAGTACTTAAAATTCTCTTAAATTTTAGAAGTTTAGAATTAAATTTCCATAAATACACTTGGTGACTTCTCTTCAATCTATTTATATTTTTTATGACTTTTTATTGGGTGATTTTGAATAAAGATTTTATGTCATCTAATCTCTATATTAGCTTTTGAATTTATGTAAGGCAAAATAAGCGTAAAGGACTTAATTTCAGCTGATTGGCTTTGGGATACTTACTAAACTAATAGGTACTTAATTTCTTGATAAAGTTTAATGGATTATTATATAATCACATTTTTAAATTTGTAATATATTTAGTTACGGCAAGTTCTGGAACATTTGTCTCAACAAAGTGAAAGCCAGTACCTGAAGATTCTAACAAGCCTTGCTGAAGTGGCCACAACAAATGGTCATAAACTGCTTAGGTAAGTATTTCAAAATGTAATCAATCAATGGATAGCAGTGTCTGTCAGCTTTGTCTCCTTTTAGGCTTTTCTGGGAATAGTTTATTTTGTTGGATGCCTTTTGTCAGTGGTAAGATGTTCTAAAAATTTGTTGACATATTGTTTGTTTTGTTTTAAAGGACCAGAGCAATCAGCTTATTACTGAGGAGACTTTAGTCTCTCTAGAGATTAAAAATAGAGACTGACTTAAGTGGATTTGGGCATATGTGTCTAAAATTTTATAAAATGATTGCTTAGACTAGTCACACATAAGTAAAATGTGCGTGAAGAAGAATCAAGAAAGTGGTTTAGGAATTTGATCACTAATTTATAAAACTGGTTATAGACTGTTGCTCAGCCTCCCAGTAAACCCTCATGATTCCTTATAAAATCTCCTCCTTGAACTGTCTCCTTCAGTTCAGTTCTTTATTTTTCCAAGAGTCTGTGGTTTAATGGCTTATTGCTAAGTCCATGAAATTGATGCCTTTATATTACTTGCATTTATACACAGTCATGTGTTGCTTAATGACAGGGACGCATTCTGAGAAATGTGTCGTTAAGCGATTTCGTCATTGTGCAAGCATCATAGAGTGTACTTACACAAACCTAGATGATACAGCCTACGACATACCTAGGCTGTATGGTGCTACACTTACATTTCACCATTTTACACCTAAGAAAATTGAAGTTCAATGAATTGTCAAGCTAGTATATAGAAGAACCAGGATTCATACCCTAACTAATAAAGAGCGAATCCTGGGTTCCAATCCAGCTCTTCAAAATGACAGGAAGATTAGTGGAACAGGAGCAACAAGGTAGGAAAAAGGGATCCATGGCCAGAATAAGTTTTAAAACTACTTTTCTAGGGGGGCCAGCCCTGTGGCCGAGTGATTAAATTCACATGCTCAGCTTCACTGGCCCTGGGTTTGCTGGTTTGGATCCTGGGCACGGACCTACACACTGCTCATCAAGCCATGCTGCGGTTGACATCCCACATAGAAGATCTAGAATGACCTACAACTAGGATATACAGCTATGTACTGGGGCTTTGAGGGGGGGCGTAAAAAAAAGAGGAACAAGGGCAACGGATGTTAGCTCAGGGCCAATCATAAAAAAACCAAAAAAACCCCTACTTTGCTAAACTGTACCACCTCACCACTTACAACGCTACCTTTAAAATGCTTTATAGAATCTGTTATTATGGTCATTTTTGACTTGTAAATAGCTCTTTGTTGGGATTGGTAGTGAGTATTGGTTGATAGTATTGTGTTAGAATTTATTGTATTGTTATTGTTTTGGGAAAACCCAGTCCCCCTCCTGTGTTTCTCCTTTACTTTCACCCTTCTCCCACACCCATAACATTTCTGACGCCAGATGTTTGTGGGTTTTTATTCCCTACCTTAAGCATTTCTTCGACACCAGCTGGGTCTCCTACCATTTAACTCAATTCTGACACTATCTAGCTGGAGATAAGGTCTGATCTCACAGTTAAGGGCTCATTCCCATGAGGCTGCCCCCCTCTTCAGATGCTATCGCAAGTAGTGGGTTCCCGGGTTACCCACAACTTCTCTCTGACTTGACTACAAATTGGAGGTTCCTCTGACCTCTTTCCCCTCAGATTCTGTTATTTTCTAGAACAGCTCACAGAATTCAGGTAAGAGCTTACTTATGTTTATTAAAGGGTTTGATAAAGGAAACAGGTAAACAGCCAGATGAAGAGATACGTAGGGCGAGGTCTTGGAGGGTCTCAAGTGTGGGAGCTTCCGTCCCTGTGGAGTTTGGGGTGTGTCACCTTCCTGGTATGTGGATGTGTTCACCAACCTGGAAGCTCTCTGAGCCCTGTATTTTTGAGCCTTTCTGGAGGCTTCATCATGTAGGCATGTTGACTATTAACTCCATTTCCAGCCCCTCTCACCTCTCTGGAGAATGGAGGTGGGGCTGCAAATTCCAAGCTTCTAATCATGGCTGGGTCTTGGGGGACCAGCCCCCATTCAGGGGCCCACCAAGAGTCACCTCAGTAGAACAAAGGACACTGCTGTCACCCAGGAAATTCCAAGGGGTTTATGAGTTGCGTGTCAGGAACCAGGGTCACAGACCAAATATTAGAACAAAAGATGCACCTAGTGCTCTTATCACTTAGGAAATTATAAGGGTTTTCGGAGCTTTGTGCTAGGAACTGGGGGCAGAAACCAATATATATATTTTCTACCATCTTCATAGCTACCAAGGTAGATTCTTAAGAACATCTCAGATACAAATCATTTCTCCCTGCCAATTTATGTTTAATGGTACTTTTGCATAATATCTCCCTTTTGTTCATTTATTTTTGAATCATTTATGTTTCTTTTTTTTTTTAAAGATTTTATTTATTTATTTTTCCCTTTTTCTCCCCAAAGCCCCCCAGTACATAGTTGTATATTCTTCGTTGTGGGTCCTTCTAGTTGTGGCATGTGGGATGCTGCCTCAGCGTGGTTTGATGAGCAGTGCCATGTCCGTGCCCAGGATTCGAACCAACGAAACACTGGGCCGCCTGCAGCGGAGCGCGCGAACTTAACCACTCGGCCACGGGGCCAGCCCCTCATTTATGTTTCTTAACTCACAGTGTGGTGTAATTTTAGCCACTTTAATAGAAGTTTTAATTAAGAAACTAACTGATTCAAATTTATGTTAATTAGTGATGATTGAGATGTTATTTAACACACTTTTGGAAAAATGGATAGCCTTTTCTCTAACTGATTCTAGGAATATTTGCTAAAGAGAATAAATATTTACTGAGGTCCCTTTTGCATGTCGTGTTGTGTTTGACTGTGTTATCCTGCTTTCTGTATATTTATGATTGAAGGTAAGGTAGTTATCAATGTGCAAATGAACAGAGAAAGCACAGTTATTTGCTAAGTAAGATACTGAAGGAAAGTGTACTCTTATGTAAACCGAAGTTAAGTACGTGGATAAGGCTTTGAATTAGGAAACTAACTTTTAAACTTTCATGTTGAGACCTGGTGGCTTGGAATGAAATTGTCATTTTGTGGATAACTGGAGAAGGATATGATAAAGTTTGGATTTTATGATCTTTTTGTATAATACAAAAGAGATGTTTGGTTGGAAATGAAAAATGACATTTTTTAGACCAGCAAATCAGCTTGCAAGAAGTTTAAACTCGATAAAGTATAAAATTAGTAGACTGTATTAATAATTGATAATGATATTCAGATTCCATTATGTAAGAAAATACTTCTTACCTTAAGATAGCTCATGAAATGTTCCCTCGATTGGGTACTTTAAACAAATATTTATATGTATGATAATTTTGCAGAGGAAAATCACACTCACACCTTTTTCATAGAAGAATTTGAGAGTCATTGTAGTTGACTTTTCCAAGAGCTGCGGCACAGTTGAAGGAAATAGTTTCAACCAAACTACATTTCTACTTTGTCAGTCTCAGCAATCTTAGGATATAAAATTAGAAACGTTTCGTAAACACAAATGTGTAAAAATCAATGCAAGCTACACTAATGATTCTATACACATTTGATTCAAAGTTATTAAAACAAAAAATTTTGCTAATGTGCTCTAGTGGTCCCAGTCAAATACAGTATGGGTAGTAATGGCTATTATATTATACTAACAGTTGTAAGTGAGAGCTAATTTTTATTGACTATTTTTAACCATTTAATAATAATTCTTAGAATGAGAAAACAACATGAATACTGAAGTGAAAATGTTGAGAAATTTTGGTTCACGTGTCACCAGGATAGAAGATACTCTGTAATTTGGCACTTATCAAACTGGAATATTTATAAGTAGGCATTTGCTATTTCCACATTACTAATCCTTATTTTTTTAAGATTAAAAGATACCTAAATATATCATAGAGGAAGATTTTAAAGGACCGGGTAAAATACACTTAGGGGAAGAGAGGGTAAGCTTTGATAATTAAATTTATTAAAAAACAGTCATACCAACAAAATCATTCCATTTGCAATAACATGGATGGACCTTGAGAGAATTATATTAAGTGAAATAAGCCAGCAAGAGAAAGATAATCTGTGTATGACTCCACTCATATGAGGAATTTAAAACTATGGACCAAGAACAGTTTAGTGGATACCAGGGGAAAGGTGGGGTGGGGGGTGGGCACAAAGGGTGAAGTGGTGCACCTACAACATGACTGACAAACATTAATGTACAATTGAAATTTCACAAGATTGTAACCTATCAATAACTCAATAAAAAAAAAAAAACTGAAAAAAACCCCCCAAAAAAACAAAAAAAAAAACCAGTCATACCAATCGGCCCCCAAATTTATACAACTCTTTAGTCTGCTTTTGTGCAACTGTTGTAATACAAGAAAACTGATGTTAGAGATTTCAGAATGAAACCACCCCATGAACAGCAACAGCAAATTTTTTTTTAAGATCTCTCATTAGATTCCATACAAATGTAGCCTAATTCCTCCAGTTTCCCTGCAAAAGAGTGATGATTGATGTTCATGATGATGGCCAATCCCTACGCACTATGGCATTCTAAAGGGCTGTTTGATTTGTCAGAGAAAGTTTAAATTATGTTTCATATGGTTTAATGTTAACTGGATCTGCGTCCTTTTTTCCCCCCATAGTGGGGTATATGTTTTATATTTATGTAGAGTCATAAGACAACTGATTATGTGGAGACTCACCCTAATGCAGATTGTCACTAACTTTAAGATTATTCAATTTGTGGCTGTTCTTACTTGAGCAATTGGTCACTGTTCTGGGGTGAGGAGGAGAAATGGGGTTATGGATAGAATAGTAGGGAGCTCAGCCTCTGCAGCTGAGTCGTGGGTCAGCCTAAGAATGTGACCAACATTTCTACCATCGCTTCTCTGTGAAATGTTCCTAGAGTTTTAAAGAATCAGTTTAATTTACAAATATACTTTTGGAAGTGAAAGTTGGAGAGTGCCTTGAAGTTGGTGCCTCAGGAAACCACCTATTCCATAGTGGTGATTTTTTTTCATATTTTATGTTTTGCTCATTGGTTATATTCTGGTTGCTTGAAAATTAATAATTCACTCATGTGCAATCCAAATAATGTATATTTGATAACTTCCTGTTAAATAAAATATTCCATCCTGTATCATGATAGGAAAAGAATTTTTTTTTTTTGGGTGAAGAAGATTGGCCCTGAGCTAACATCTGTTGCCAATCTTCCTCTTTTTGCTTGAGGATGATTGTTGCTGAGCTAACTTCTGTAACAGTCCTTCTCTACTTTATATATGGGTTGCTGCCACAGCATGGCTTGATGAGTGGTGTGTAGGTCCACTTCTGGGATCCAGACCCACAAACCCTTGGCCTCTAAAGCGGAGCACACGAACTTAACCAGTACATCACCAGGATGGCCCCTTTAGGAAAGGAATTTTGCTGGTTATATTATGAAACATGTTCGATGTGGTAAAAATGTTTAAAGTATGTATTTTAAGATGTAATGTGTTTATTCCATCTAATCTGTTCATATTTTAATTTTTACTTTCAGCCTATCTAGTAATTATGATGCCCAAATGAAGAGCCTTTTAAGGATTGTGAGGATATTTTGTCATGTCTTCCGAATTGGTCCATCCTCTCCCAGTAATGGAATCGATATGGGCTACAACGGGAATAAAACTCCAAGAAGCCAGGTGTTCAAGGTCAGAAAAGGATGTGACGTTCTTAGGGAGATAGACTTAAAAGAGATGAATTTGGCAAAGCATGCGTTCATTAATCAGAAACCTCGTCAACAGGACATAAATTTGGTTCATACGTGTGTCACTTTGTAGCTTAGGCACATCTTTCTCCTTTCATTTCTGTCTAATCAACAGCAAGTCTTAGTTGGTGAGCTTTCTGTATTTTCCTTACAAGTAAAATTTTAATTCGTTAGTGTTTTCTTCTAAGCGTGGAGGTATTTAATGTTTAAATCTAATTAAATCTACTTTTTTATTGGATTATATGTTTTTAATGTGGCAATATGCAGCCATCATGATTTAAAAAAAAATTTCTTATCCGGAAGGAAAGGAAATATCCAAGATTTTTTAGATTTTGTTATTGTGTGTGTTTGTGTATCTGTTTTTAAAGTAAGGTTACTTTCCTTTTCTGGGTTTACTAACAGTTCCTGAGATCACTTCAAGGAAGAATCGTGGCGATATTTTCTTAAAATATTTTGTTTTGCTTCAGCTGCCGCTTCTATACAATCATATTTATGGATGGAATTCTTGGAAGAACCATTCCATATAAAACCCAAGGCAATGTCGCTACCCGTGTTAAATTATAATTTTATGAAGTAAACAAAATGTACATGGCTGTAATTGCTATTGTTAATGTTTTTTTGTGTGTGGCATTAAATTTTCAAATAACTCAGATTTTGGACAAATGTGTACTTTAATAACTTTCCATGTTATTTTTTTAAAGGTAATTTATCTTGAGATTTTCGTAGTATAAAATTTGCTTTTGGAATCATGAAGACTTCTATTTCTTTAAACAGTCTTTTGAGTATAAATATAGGTTCTTTATCCAAAAAGTGATATAAACATTTTCATGTGCCACTTCCTTGCAAACTAGTGATGATTGAGAGCTTAACTGTCTGTAAAGCTCCAAGTTGAATTGATGATTTATGCTAAATGATTCTTCTCTTACGTGGAAAATTTTTGGCAGACACAAATAAATGGTTTGCAAGCATTTGAGGCTAGTAGATTCTTTAATACCTGGAATAGGTATAATATAGCCTTTTGGAAAGGTAGGTGCAAGTGTCTGCATGTTTGTCTGCTTCACTCTCTTTTAAGTCAGTGTAGGAGAGTTTTCATCTGTGTGCGTTTCTTCTTTTTTTCCCTCTTGTGCCACCTCCTGGAAGAAAGAAGTTATGCATCCTCTTGTAATTAAAATTTTGGCTCTTCACCTGCCTCTTCTTTGAACACTAGTTAGGAGTGATGACTTGCTGTCTTTGTAAAATTTGAATCTAAATCGTTGATGCACTGTCTTGTCAATGCTGTTTTAAGTGAATTTCACTGCTCAAATATTGATATTACACCAAGTTGTTCGTAATGTATTCTGGCATGGCTCATGTTGTTAGAATCTACCCGATTTGATTCATACTCATCTATAATGACGAATAGAAAATTCAATCAGGTATAGATATGGTCACCATTATCCAAATTGGGCATAGATTATACTCACTATTGTCTGATTTTTCTTTTCTTAAAATTTGAATCTTTCATCCATTGCTAATGATACCAGAAAATAACTATGTGCTAGCCTTGTATAGGCATTTAATGCTTGATTTAAATGTTAGTTTTCTACCTAGCCGATCAGTACAGATATAACAGAATAGACAAGGATGTCACTGTGTTTCTTTTAGATTTTTTTTATGGAATTCAGACTGTGTTTTGATTGTCGTTTGACGCATATAATATATAAAGTTCTATTTCATTTGTTAGTATTTTTATTTTTTTTTAAGATGATATTTTCTGCATCATTGACAACTGCTTTTGCCTCTGATCATTTGTTTTCTCTTAAATTTTGACCTTTCACTTTGGTAAAACATTTTTATTATAAAACTCAGCTAATTTTTTAAAACATAAAGTGTTATTCTTAAGGAATTTATTAGTTGCTTTCCATCTAATTTTATGAATTAAATGTGGACTCTTTGGAAGATGGCAGAATGTTCTGCCCTTCTACTTAATAAGGATAAAATAGAAACTACGTTGTCATCCATGTATATAAGGTCTTCCGTTCATTGTAGGGTGACTCAAGTTGTAAAAGTCTTAACTGTTTGCTGAGTTGCTGCAATGTTAGACTGGAAATACCATTTTAACTTTTACCACATTTTGTCTAAGGTAACAATTGGTCCCTACTTTGCATTTTGTTCACTAGGTACTCTAACATGTCACTTTATTGTTAGGATTAACTAATGGGTTTTCCATTAAGAATGAGTGGGTTTATAGGCCATGTGTTTTTAGTAGATAAAATTGTTTAACATCCTGTTGGTAGTTTTGTGATTTGTCTTAGAAATCCTTTAAGTTAATCTTAACACTTAACCATCTTTTCAGTGTCTTATCTAGTGCCTTGGGGCCAAGGGAGCTTCTGAAGGAGAAGGTAGCATGGTGTGAGCGTGGGGAAGACAGTTTAGGCTTCCTGATGCTTGATAGGCTCTTTTGTTGTGAATATTAAGAAGTCTTTCTCAACAGTTTCATAGAACTTAATGGGAAAATTTGGAAGCCAAGGAAGATTGAGAAACTTTTAACTTTGAGATCTTATCTTTCGAGTTGTGACATTTGACTTTATCAAGTTGAAAATAGTCAGACTAACTGGATTTCAAGATACTCTTATGAACTTAAGTTAGTAATGGTTTCCTGTTCAATTTGTATCTCACTTTGGCACATGGATCTTAAAATTTCTTTTGTTTGTCCAAGTTTGGGATTATATATTATAGCTTTGAAATATAACTTGAAATGTTTTGAAAAATCATGTATGATTTTCATATGCTTGTTACTTGATGTAGAATATGATTCTGTGGTAAAGATCACTCAATAATGTGAAATGAGGCAAGATTTTCACCGTGCCAAGAAGCCTACTGATATTTTCTGTAGTCATTGACTCATATTTTAGTAACAATTCATATGTACAGTGCTTTGTATCTTATCTAATATTTTATCATTACTATTTATGGATATAGAAAGCATAATAGATATGGTTTTCTTTGGTTTATTTTTGATTTTTAAAATTTAGTCTTTTTTGTCTGTGGCTGCTACCACAGTTAGAAATTAAAGTTATTTTCACAGTATTCTTTTTGGTATTGAGGAATGAATTTTCTGAACAAACCTTCAAAGAGACAACTCTCTAGGTAAAAATATCTCAAGGTTGGGATTAAGTTTTAGTGCATGCATAAAAAGTGTGAAAAAGAGAAAAGTAAAGAAGGCCTAAGATGACTTACTACTTCTCTTCTTTTTTTCCCTCGTTCTATTCTAAGTCTTCGCTGTGTTCCTTTATTGAAGACTCTTTCTAGCTTTTTCGTATCTTTATCATCACTATCATTTTACACAGATCTGAGGTTTTATTATTTCTTTTTTTATTTTTTGAGAAAGATTAGCCCTGAGCTAATTACTGCCAATCTTCCTCTTTTTGCTGAGGAAGACTGGCCCTGAGCTAAGATCCATGCCCATCTTCCTCTACTTTATATGTGGGACACCTACCACAGCATGGCTTTTGCTAAGTGATGCCATGTTCGCACCCGGGATCCGAACTGGCAAACCCTGGGCCACTGAAGCAGAACGTGCGAACTTAACCACTGTGCTACTGGGCCGGCCCACAGATCTGAGGGTTTTTTTTGATATTATTTCTAGAGTATTCGCAATTCGACTTTAATTTTTGCGCACTGTTAGGACTTGAAAATAGGAGTGTTGTAGGTTCAGGCTCTGCTCTCATCTGCGTAAGCAGCAGGCGTCATTTCCTGCCCTAGACTTCATCTACAATCCAACAATATTCCAATGTTGATTTTCTAGGTTTTAGCCCTACTTTTTTGGAGACCAATTATTCCTTTTTTCTTTTGTTTCAAGCATTTTTACATAACCACCTGTTCTTTCTGTTTTGGAAGTTCATTTTCTGAGGTAAAGCTAAATGGTTTTGCTGACAGAGAAAGTTCTTTTTTGGGGCCGGCCTGGTGGCGCAGTGGTTAAGTGCTCACCTTCTTCTTCAGTGGCCTGGGGTTCGCCGGTTCGGATCCCTGGTGTGGACATGGCACCGCTTGGCACGCGATGCTGTGGTAGGCGTCCCACATATAAAGTAGAGGAAGATGGGCATGGATCTTAGCTCAGAGCCAGTCCTCCTCAGCAAAAAGAGGAGGATTGGCAGCAGATGTTAGCTCAGGGCTAATCTTCCTCAAAAAAAAAAATTCTTTTTCATCCTTTATAGCAGGTTTACTGTTTTGCTCATGAAGAGAAACCATAGACTCAAACTTGGATCATGATTAGAATTAAGATGTAAAGGAGTCGTTTCAGTATTTATGGAAGCTGGTGTTTCTTGCCTTTCCCCTGAGCAGCTCGGGGACCCTGAATCTTCCCACTGCTGTGCCTAACCATGGAAAAGCCCTCTTTGTGGGGAGAGCGGTGCTCATTCCAGCTCAGGGTGTAATTAGTTTCTTGCTAAAGTTTCAAATATGGTTGTGTAATCTCCTTCCATAGTGGTATTTGAAAGAAGATTATTTCTTTTAGTTGAAATATTGTAAGGATAGGTCTTTCTGAAGCGTATGGTCCAGTTTGTAGCATTCTGTGATCATATAAGAATCAAGATTAACTTCTACATTCATTTGCAGAATGACAATTTATCATTTTCAATAGGAATGTTTAATAAAATAGTGTAGCAATGAAGGACCGTTTTACCACTGTCCCTCTTAACTGTTAATCTTTATTTGGGATTAAAAATGTTCTAGCAGGTCTTTTTTCCCCCCACCTTTATTGAGATATAATTGACATGTAACATTGTGTAAGTTTAAGGTGTACAATGTGGTGATTTGATTCATATTTATATTGTGAAGTGTTTACTGCGGTAAGGTTAGTTAACACATCCTTTACCTCACATAATTACTATTTGTTATTGTTATAGTGAGAACATTAAAGCTTTACTCTCATAGCAACTTTCAAGTATACAGTACAATATTGATAACTATAGTCACAATGCTGTACATTAGATCCTGTTATCAGGTCTTTTAAAAGAGTTGGGCATTTATATTTCTGCTTGTGTTATAAACTATAATTATCAGAGATGATGTATATATTTCATCTTCTCTTGTACTTAGTCCTGTTGTAACATTTGTGATCCCATAATATTTAAAAAATAAAATTCTATTTGCTGTTAATTTACAAAAGACATTTATTCTCAAATGGTGGAATATTTTAAATAGTGTAGAAATAAGAAACAATTTACTCTCTCCCCTCCTTTTTCTTTTTTAAGCTGTTAATCTTGACCTGCAATTAAGAATTTGCTAGTCAGTATTTGATAGTTACCAGTCATTAGAGATGGATTTTGTATGTGTGTGGGTAAGTGTATATATATATGTGAGTGTGCGTGTATATATAAAATCATCATATTTTAAAATTTCTTATAAGTTTCCAGAGTTCTAGGAATTACGTGTAAAGAAAAGAGTCCAGTAAACCAAGCTGTTTATTAGGCTCTTTAGGAATTCTCATTTCTTTAATTGGAAAAAGCTGTAATTGAAAATTGTTGACACAACATTAATACCATAAAGGTTAGGGGGATGTATACGTAAAAGAGATGTATACTTTTAAAACTAAATATTTGAAAATTTCTAAAAGAAGAAAGATTGCTTATAAATTTTTTTGTTAGATTTTAGTTTTCCCAGTTTATTCCAAGGAATAAATAAATGCAAATTAAATTTTTGCTATAAATAAAGAAATTGTCATTTATATGACATTCATATGTTTTTGTTACTTACCTTTAGGCATTACTGTCCCATAAACTTGGGGTAAACAGAAGTATCTGGAGTACATCTTCTCTTTTATAATATTTATTTGGCTGTGTGGGTTTTTTATCCTGGAGTTTAAGAATGATGTTTGAAAAACACTTTTCTTTTTCTCTTAGCCTCTTGAATTGCTTTGGCACTCATTAGATGAGTGGCTAGTTTTAATAGCTACAGAATTGATGAAAAACAAAAAGGACTCGACGGATATCACTTCTATTTTACTGAAACAGAAAGGCCAAGATCAAGATGGTGCTTCCATTCCTCCATTTGAACCTCCAGGAGCCGGGAGCTATGAAAATCTATCCCCTGGCACAGGGGAATCTAAACCAGATGGTCTTGGAGGGAAGCAGGAAGCCAGTGCAGACTGTCAGGATGTGATTTCCATGACAGCCAACCGGCTAAGTGCTGTCATTCAAGCTTTTTACATGTGCTGTTCTTGTCAGATGCCTCCAGGGTAAGAAGGTTTCTGCTTATTATTTCCTTCTCTGATAGGTGAAGAAAAGCTATGATTTTTTTTGTAATTTTGGTCACAACAAATAATAATTTGTTGACTTTAGGTTCTGTTCTGATCTTGTTTTAGGATACTCGTTGTACTACTCTAGAATTAGTACAGAATAATTGAGTTTTAACCATTTTATAAGTTATTAACATACAGAATGGTGATTGTCAGTTTGTATAGGATCACTTAATTATGTATTTGAAATGTGTAGAGCAGAGATGCTTAAAATCTCAAGGTTTTTAAAAAGTCACTTGTTTATATCATCTGTTAATGAAAAGTTATGTATATTTTTACATGTTATAAATTGGCTAGACATGCCTCAGTTTCCTAAATTTATAAAGATGATCCAAACCCATGTTCTTTTTTTCCTCTGGAAGCCAGTCCAATTCAATACATAGTTATCAAATTGATAGATTGCCAACTTGTCTCTATATTTTCTGATTGTTTTTTACCCCCTACAGAATGACTTCACCCCGTTTCATTGAATTTGTCTGCAAACATGATGAAGTTTTAAAATGCTTTGTTAACAGGTAAGGCTTTTCTCTGACTCATGGACTGCACTTTTAGCCTTTTCTTTCTTCATTTATAGTTTTCGTGTCAACAGAAAAAATGTTACTTCTGTTGCTAATCAAAAATGTTCAATGACAAGAGAAAGTATAGTAGATGTGGATTAATATGTGTTTTTCTTCTGTTTCAGTGTCTGTATATCTGAATTTGCATTTCAATTAATGCTACTCATCCTTCCTGTACATTTAAACAAAATATATTTTTCTTTTAGAAATCCCAAAATTATATTTGACCACTTTCACTTTCTTCTTGAATGTCCTGAATTGATGTCAAGATTCATGCATATCATAAAAGCACAGGTAGAAATTTCTCTTAATGTTGTTTTTAGTCTGTCTGAAGAGAATTAATTTTCTTAATTTGAGTACTGTTTAGTGAAGTAATTATTATACTTGAGACCTCCTGCTATGGGAGTAGTGAAATCACCTTTTTTCTTTACTTTAGTATGTGGAAGCACATTAGTCTGTTACTTTACTATGAGGAGTAATCTTTGTTCTTGAAAAAGCGTGTATTGTGTGCCTACTATGTACAAGGCTTGTGCAAAGACAACAGAACATGTTGCCACATTTCCTGGAAGGAGTTTTATGGAATACTAGTCCTATAAGGCTGGTGGTCCATGGAAAGAGAATTTTGTCCCCAAATAGATTTGAGAAATGTGACATGTGTCCTGTTGGGAATTTATAAAGCATATCGACAGCTGGGTAAAGGCTTTGAGAAGCACCTTGATAAAAATAGTGATTTAACTTTGTTAATCCTCCAAACTTATTTGACCCAAGAAGCTTTCCCCCACCAGGGTTCATTCCACATATCTCATGTTTCGTGAAACATGCTGGGGAAAAGCTTGTTTTGCTCCTTACCAGTTCTGTCACTTTGGGCACATTTCCAACATCCTTGAGCCTTAGATTCTTCATCTATAAAATAGAGGTAATGACCCCAACCTCATAAAACTATGGTGAAGAATAAGTGTTAAGTAGTGACTGGTATATGTGTTCTACAATTGGGAGTCGTTTTGGAGATAGAAAGCATAAGTCCTTTCTCCAAGTGGATCTTAATTCAGTCTATCAGGAGAGATAATAAATGTACCTATACAATAGTGATTACAGTATTACCTGGTTCTTTAAGAGTTTAAGGGAGAAAGAACTTGCTTCTGGCTGCTGTAGTCAAGGGAAATTTCAAACAGGAGGTGGATTTTAAGCTGGACCTTTTAAAACATGCTAAATTTTGATGCGAGTAAATGGGGAAGGTGAGCATTCTAGCCTACGTTTGGGCCAGGGCACGTAGATGGAAAACTGTATAAAACTACAGTGGTTGAAGCACAAATTTTCTGTCGGTGAGGAATGAGAGATGATTCTGGAAAGGTAGGTTGCACTCATACTGTGTTGAGCCTTCCTCGACTGCCATATTGGAAAATCTTCTTTGTTTGCTAGGCTGTCAGGAGCCACTGACAGCTTTGCTTCAGGAGAATGACATGAATGATCCCGGCAAAATTTTAGAAAGTAGTTTATCAGAAATGTAGGCTAGACTGGAGGCTATGGTTTGGTTAGTAGTCATAAGATAAATGTGATAGGTGTTTTAAAATGTCTTTAGGGACACCGACCCTTTCAGAATCTGAAGAAAGCTAAGAACTAATTCCTGTAAAATTATATACGTGTATATAGGTCTTTTTTGACATCTGTTTAATAATGATTTAAAAGAGAAGGTATTAATAATAACTTACATTTACTGAATGCTAACTTTAGGTCAGGTACTGTAGACTTGCTTTACATGGATTCTTTTATTTTCCTAACAGTCATGTGAGATGAGTACTCTTCTACTGAAGCTGAAGAGGTTAAGTAACTTGTTTAAGTCATTTAGCTACTAAGTAGGAGAACCAGAATTTAAAAGTTCGTCTGGTTCTTAAGTTCATTTTCTTCACCTGTGCTGTGTCACTCCATTCTAGGGCAAATGAGATTATAGATGAAAGAAACTTTTAGTTTTTGAAAGAAGTAGTTTGCTATTTTTGTTATTATCTCTGCTTTTCACTTCCTTTTCCCTCTTCCCTTCCTGAACAATTAAGTCAAAAAGCATCTGTGTTAGCTATCCACGTTTTTGACCCACAGAGGGGATTTTGTTGCCTGACCGGAGTGAGGAAGGTGTCGTGTATAGATGTGGCCCAGCATGGGGTTTTGGAGGTTGGGCGTGGTAAAAAGAGTGTCTGTGTAGAAGAGGGGCTCAGCATGGAGTGTGTGAGTTGCAGCGGCATGTGGAGGATGTCTGATGTGGAAGACAGTGACAATTGCGCAGACTAGTTTGACAGAGCCCGAGTCGGGGGCAGGGCATCCATGCAGTAAAGGTCCAGGTCGGTGACAGGAAATTAGTTATATACAGAGTGGGGTGGTTGATCAAATAAGAAAGTATAGTATAATGGATAGTATATAGTATATAGTATAGATAATGGCTGCCTAGTTTCTCACCGTTGGAGAAAGGACTTACAAAATGGAGGAGAATAGAATGAACCACTGCTATTGGAGAGGAATTGGAGAAATCAGTGTGAACTTACAGTTTTCAATGTAGGTAGATAGAGCAAACCTGTCACCCAGTTCTTGGTCTCTGAATACCATTCTCAACGAACCAGGGCTCTTTGGGGAAGTGGCTAATTTCAGGGCTGGGTCAGGGAAAGTACAAGATGAGCTTGGAACATCTTATTGTGCAAGAAAGTTCTTCAAAGATTGATGGGGTTATGTCAAAATGACTCAGAACTAGCTTGAATGGACTCTACTGGCCAAATCTGGATCAATTCGAACATAAACATAAATAATGTTGGAAAAATATTATAAAATCAGAACAGTACTGAAAAAATTAATGAATAAATGGAAAATTTGATGAGGGATGGGATATTTTTACAGTCTCAAAGTATCTCCCCACAGAACACTTACTAGTTACAAAGATTCAAAAGGAACTTTACGGTGGAGAAGCTGGGCAGTGTTCAAAGCAGACATATTGGTGTGCCAGCTGATAGGATGCACTGAGAAGAACATGGCGTCACTTCTTTGGTATTCCTGCCAAAGATGCACACCCTGAATTTAGTCATGAGAAAACATCAGACTAAGTCCAATTGAGGGACATTCTACAAAATAACTGACTTGCAATCTTTAAAAGTATCAAGATCATGAAAATTAGGAAAACAGTGAAGAACTGTGCCAGAGTGAAAGAGACAGGACAACTAAATGCAATTCATGAGTCATGTACTATAAAGGACGTTATTAGGAAACTGGCAGACTTGAAATGGATCTAAGGATTAGATGTAATACTGTATCATTGTTAATTTCCTGATTTTGATGGTGGTTATCTGGTTATGTAGGAGAATTCTTTTATTTGTAGGAAACACACACTGAAATATTTAGGGGTGACTGGACATCATGTTGGCAACTTACTCTCACATCAGGAAAAAAAACTTTGTATACTACTGTTCTTAGAAATTTTCTGTAACTTGGGGGCTGTATCATAAAAAAAAAAAAAAACCCACCAAAACCACTAAAAACAAAAACTACCTCTGCTAAGGGATTGACTTCTTGTTCTGTTGGTTTTCAGGTAGGCTATAGTTAGAGGGAGAGACCTCTGTAATCAGTCCTGTTTTGTAAATTATTTTATGGAAATGCAGGTACTCAGAAAGGTTGCATACAACCATGTGCCCTTTGGCTTTGTAAGTGTATATATATTTGTGTGGGATGATCTTTTGTTTGTTTTTTTTTTGCCGGGAAAGATTAGCCCTGGCCTAACACCTCTTGCCTATCTTCCTCTTTTTTTGTTTGAGGAAGGTTATCCCTGAGGTAACATTTGTGTCAGTTTTCCTCCACTTTTATATGTGGGTTGCCGCCACAGTATGGCTGATGAATGGTGTGGGTCCATGTCCAGGATCCAAACCTGCGAACCTGGTCCACCAAAGTGGAGCACGTTGAACTTAACCACTACACCACCGGGCCAACCCCCTGTTATGTGTGTGGATGTTTTTATCTTATAGATATCTTAGTAGCTTTTGAAGGCTGGCATTTTGTACCTTTACTGTTCCATTTGAATTATTTTTAAAAAATTACCGTTTCCTTTTGTTTCTTGGTTCACATTTTATAGATAAAGGATATAGTTTAACATTTAATATCTTATAATGGCAAGTAAGTTTACTGTCATTTTAAACATTTAGTCCAATAATTTTAACGTTGTTATGAGTAATATAAGGACAGCACCTATTTATTGAGTGTTCTAGATGTTGAGTATTTTCACAAGTTACTTAACCTCTTGGTGCTGCCGTTTTCTCCTCTGTGAAATGGGGATAATAAGAGTCCCTTTTTCTTGTAGTGTTGTCAGGATTACATGTGAAAACGCACGTGAAGTGCTTAAAACAGTACCTGGCTTATAGGTGCATAAGCATTAGCTACTTTATGATTATAATTATCATTATTATGTTCTGTATTTGTATTGTTTCATTTAATCCTCACAATTAGCCCTTGAAGTGGGTATTATTTCTGTACTTTACAGGTGGGGAAAACTAAACTTCTGGGAGGATTAGTAATTTCCCTAAGGTCACAAACCTAGTAGCGACAGAAGCAGCATTTCAAACCATGTATATCAAACTTCAAAGCCCATTCTTAAATACTTCATTTCTGTGTAGTGTTATTTTCCCTCCTCTTTTACCAAAGTTTTAGAAATAATCAACATTAAAATTTCAAGTACTTTACATTCTAGTCTGTTTATTAAAAATGAAATATTCAATTTATATGCCCAGTACTGTATATAATAACAGCAGTGCTTTATTCCAAATGTGAAAGACTACTAGAAGTATGAACAACATTATACATTTGTTAAATTACTACAGTTAACTTTTAAAAAGGGAACATTTACTCTTTTCTTACTGAAAGAGCAGATGTTAAAAGGCAGAAGTTGAGCCAGTCCTGATTGCCTAGCGCTTAAAGTTTGGCGTGCTCTGCTTTGATGGCCCGGGTTTGCTTCCTGGGCTCAGAACCACACCACTCATCAGTCAGTAGCCGTGCTGTGGTGGTGGCTCACATAGAAGAACTGGAAGAAGATACAGTTATACACAACTATGTACTGGAGATCTGGGGGTCGGGGGAGAAAGAAGGAGGAAGATTGGCAACAGATGTTAGTTTAGAGTGAATGTTCCCCTGCCAAAAAAAAAAGTTAATTTCTCACCAGTTATCTTTATAAGAATAATATTTTTATTAAGAATTAATAAAAAGTGATGTTTAAGTCTCTAATACTTAGTTTAGCTCAGATGAAGAAATGTACTGGTGTCCTAAAAACTGCCTGA